AAAAAAAAAAAAAAACCAAAAAAAACACCAGAAGCCCTGCATCCAGGAGCATAGAGTGGCCATTGTCAACTATGCTTCTTGGGCGACTCGAAGACCAACCTTATGGTTTGAGGTAGAGGGTCATTACGATTAGGCTAATCCCTCATTTTGTCAGTTGCTACATAGATGTTTCATTAGGCTTAGAGATTTTGTTTGTGAACAATGTATTAGATAACGGTTATCAATCAAGTTAGGATTAATGATGGATGACTGCAATGTCCCTCTAAGTAAAAAGATTTTGATTAGGGTAGTAAATGGAGTAACTTGGCGAAGAATCATGTGATACGGGAATTACCTGTGATGTTCTTCTTCTAATCTTGTTATTGGTTCTAGTTCATAACGTGGTGCATCCTTAACATCCTCAAATAGTTGATACCAAAGAATTTAAATGAAGTTGGTGAACTCGGTTTAGTAGTTCACTTCTTTTTTAGTAGCACTTTTGACGGCAAGGCTAGACAAATGTTTTACGGATGCTTAACAAAACAGAAAAATGCTGAAGAAAGCAGAATTTGAACCTAGGAGATGAACTTAAACATGAGCTGAATTTCAGTGTGCTTATAATCCTCTTTGTAACCCATATGGGTGCTATAATAGGGGGAGATTTGGTGTCTGGAGGCATGAGTATCTATGGAAATGATATCGGTATTATTTTTGTAGAGTAAGACCTTGCGATAAGAACCACCTATTAGAGCAAAGCCAATGTAATTAAAACCCACTCGCATTTAAATTTGTGCTTTGGATCGTTTTTGCAACACTTGGCATGATCTTCACCGTTGTTTCCCCATTGTGTTTTGCAGGGTCAAGAAGAGCAAAATATATTAATCTCAGAGAGGGAAATTTTTGACCTATGTGGACCTCTGCACCTAACTGCTATTGACTGGTGTGTAAGTTCTTTGCCATATTTTTTAGTTATAAAGAGGTTTTGCATATATAAAGGTGATCGAATTATCAGAGATGTAATATAGGAAAAACTTGTAGTTATATATGAAATATTATGAATGTAATCAACTGACGCTAGTGAAACCCATGACAAATAGTGTACTGAATATTAAAGCAGCTATTAAAAATGTCATTACTGTCGAGTTCTTGACTTCTTCCAAAGGAAGATGTTGAAACATCAAGTGTCTTGATTCATACTCAAACTACCTCCATTCTAGATTGATTCTGATCTTTTCCTTTATGGGATGTCATAGAAAATTCCCTGTATAATAATAGATTCTCTCTCCATATTTTACCCTTTTGCAAGATGTTTATCTCCAATATGAATAAATAAGGGCAGATCTGTTTCTCAAAAAGTAAATAAATAAGGGTAGATCTATCTAATCTAACATCAGAATGAGGACATACAACACTTTTTCCCTGTACGCATAGTCAAAGGAGAAAGTTGGTTGGGATGGACGGGGGTGATTTTGCCTTTATGCCCTGCATCTACCAAGTGATAAAAACGCCTCCAAAGTTTTAGATCACTTTGCTTCGATTGTGTAAATCCCCTAGTACACCTTGCACCCTATCAAGGATGAACATGAGTGTAGCAGTCTATGTTGCTCGGACTCTCCGGAAATGTCGCCGGTGCGTATTAGATCCTCCAAAAGTAATACGTGCAACATTTTGGAGAGTTCGTGCAACATAGGTAACAGTTAATCCATGGAAGAGGACTTTGAAATGTACTTTAGTCACACTACTTTTGATACGTTATTCCTCCCACTTGGCAGTCTTCCCCTCTAGAAAAAGGGATGGAAAAACGACATTGCATGCATGAGAAGATTTGGGGGGGGGGGGGGGGGGAGATGGATGCAAGTTCTCTTTGATGATTTGAAGATGTCATGCCTGCAAGCGCCTAATTAGCATGATATTGTGTTAATAGAATGGGTGGTGTACCGGTCTTCTTTCAGCAACAAGTTCCCTTGATCTTTCACCCGATAAACAAAATAGATGCACGTAGGAAAAAAGAATAGAGCAACTGAAATTAGCTTGAGCTCTGCATTCTTTTCTTATCTTTTCCAAATTATGCAGCTTAATGCTATTATTTTGGGCAAGACTACTCAGGACTACTCACTCTCATCCTGCCCGACACTTCTCTTGCTTGGAAGTTTACTGGTAACATTTTTCTGTTACCTAATGCAGGGAAAATGTTGCTCATCGACGATCTGTGGCTGCGAGTTTGGTTCAGGGTGTCTACATCCTAGAGCGAGACCGGCAAGAAAAGCGGCAGGAAGCTCAAGCTTTTGCTCCTCCGTGGTGGAAACATTTCGAATTTCAGTTATATCGCGTGCTTGTTGATGATGTTGATTCCTGCATTTTTGGTGCTATATATAAATTCGCACCGTCAAAATCTTATGCTGGTGATTCCATAGATAAAGCCCCACGGTTTGTTATTGCTTTCCGTGGGACCTTAACCAAAGGTGATGCATTTACACGAGATGTAGAATTGGATGTCCACATAATTAGAAATGGACTTCATCGGACATCTCGCTTTGAAACAGCCATTCAAGCTGTTCGACATGTGGTTGCCACATTCGGAAGCTCAAATATCTGGCTAACCGGTCATTCATTAGGAGCTGCAATGGCAATGCTTGCTGGCAAAACCATGGCAAAGACCGGTGTATTTCTAGATGCATTTTTGTTTAATCCACCATTCTTGGCGGCTCCAATAGAAAGAATTAAACATGAAAAAGTGAAACACGGGATCAGATTTGCAACCAGTGTTATAACAGCTGGACTTGCTTTTGCTGCGAAGACTAAAATTGTGAATACTCGATCTGGAGATACATTCGTTGCATTATCTGCATGGACGCCGTGCCTATATGTGAATCCATCTGATCCTATCTGCGCAGAATACATCGGCTACTTTCAACACAGGGATAGGATGGATACAATGGGAGCAGGAGTTATTGAGAAGGTAGCAACCCAACACTCGATTGGTGGTCTTGTCATGAATTTCATGGGGAAGGAATGTGATGAGCCGCTGCACCTTATTCCATCAGCCAACTTAACAGTTAATTTGAGTCCTTCGACGGTCTTCAAAGAAGCTCATGGAATTCACCAATGGTGGAAACCTGATCTACTTGTTGAGTCCAAGAAACACCAGTTCACATAACAAATGGTTCAAAACAAATACCACTACTGCACTTGACAGATGGTATGTTTGTCTAATTTGTTCCTCTCCTCGGGTATGTTTATATTTTGCGCTTAGCGTAATGGCTCTTGTACTGGTGCGACCGTTGCTTTAGAGATGCATTGTTACCTTCAACTTCTATTTTGTTCATTCATGTTTCTATATTTTAGTGAATCCATCTACCCCTAGTGGGCTTCTTTCACCTTCTTTAGCCGAGGATTTATCGGAAATAGTCTCTCTGCTCTTCCAGGGTAGGGGTAAGGCTGCGTACATCCTACTCTCCTCAGACCCCACTTGTGGGATTACACTGGGTGGTTGTTGTTGTTATATCTACCCCTAATGCATACTATCACATTTCGAAAGAATTTATGTGAGCTAAGTTTTGAGTTTTTTGTTTTTCACCTTCCACACAATCTTGTTTGTTCAAGTGAATTCTCAAGGGATTCCTAATGAGGAATTGACTCGGAGAATTCCTAACACATAGTTTGGAACATATTGCTTATCGTACTCCATTAGTCAATGTGCCAAGAAAAACAGAGTTACTAGTAATGTCAGTCGAAACAAAGTATTTTATGTTTAACCTAAACCTAGGAATTTCTTGAAGATGTATATTTATATTTAATCGTGCCTACTGTAGTAAAAGAATAGTAGATGTAGTGGAAACTTTATATCTAACTTGAACTGAAATAAAATAAATGCCAAAGGGTCAAATATACACCTCTACCGGAGAAAATGTTTAAATATACCATTCGTTATACTTTGGGTTTAAATATACTCCTGAAGCGATACTATTAGTTCAAATATACCTCTATTTGAAAATTTTAGTGGTGGAAAAAAAATTGTAGAGGGGGGAGATAAAATGGGTTAGGGCGTTGAGGTGGCAAGCCATGTGGCATCCATCTCATCAAATATCAGTGCCACGTAGGATTGGATGTTCATGTTGGACAAACTTAACGGGAGGGTATATTTGAACCAATAGTATTACGGCAGGGGTATATTTGGATCCAGAATATAACGAATGTTATATATAAATATTTTCTGATAGTATAAGAATATATTTGACCCTTTTCCGTAAAATAAAAGTAAGACTAGGCCGACGGCTCAAGGCGTGTCTATACAAAGACCAGACTCTATTTTTCGTTCAAATAGGCAATGCACCCTTAGTTTAAATGGTACTCTACATGATTAATTAAGAATGATTTTTTTCGAACTTATATAGACCCTTTTAGAAAAAAGGACTCCAGTAAAACTAACTATGTACTACTTAAACTTGGCATATAAAGAATCATTTTTAGCTAGTGTTTGGCCATGGTTCTCAAATTTGTTTTGAACAATCTGATTTGGGTGAAGTTTGGTTTGAAGATGAAAATGTGTTTGGACATACTTTTGCAAAATATATTTTTCAACTTTATTTTGGAAAAACATATATATAATTCTCAAGTTTTGAGATTTTGGCCTGGAATTTGAGATTTGAGATTTGGCCAAAATATGGGCAAAATTTATGGCAAAACATGAGTTTTGAAAATAAATTCCAAATTTATTTTGACAAAATTCATGGCAAAATGGGGCCTCAGTCTTTTGTTTTTTTGTTGTTTTTAACTGTTTAAGACATGCGCCCTTAAATACAGAGCACATGAAAAGGAAGTTCCTTACAAACTCTAATCCCAAGGAACCTAACCCCACATAGAAAATGAAAGCGTTGCAGAAAGGACTTGACCAATAATGTCACTTTGTTGAGTGATTTTATTTTGTGTCTCACGGATCCATATCTTATACATCTGGGTCCATAAAATTCTGGGACCACAAAGTCGTTACACAAAATAAATGTTTTTCACTTTGTCTGAAGATCGGTCCACTAAAAAACACTGTTGCAATGTCCTTATTTCCTGTGCAAGCGGCTTGTACCCACTACCCAATTTCCACTATTCGGTCACGAGCTTTGTCCCTGTGCCCACTTCCTCATCAAATCACTCTCATCATCTCCCGTCCCCCGGATTCAACAACAACAATAACGATCCATTAAATTTCATTAGTGGGATCTGGGGAGGATATTGTGTACTCAGAACTTATTTCTATCCAGAGGAGTAGAGAGGATGTTTCTGAAAGACCCTCGACCGAATCCATGGGGATTTAGTATTTAAAATTTAATAATCTAATTAAGTCGGACTTGAGTCAAATAAGCCTTCTCATTGAAATATTCTCTGTTCTCAGTATTTGAATTCGAAACCTCCTGACCACTATTTCATCATCTAAACAATACATTTTAGGACAATCTTTTCCCTTGTTTTTGAAAAAGAGTTTAATATGCTTCTTAGTTGCTTACTGTGTTATACATTGCCACTACTTAGAAAAAGTGTTCTCTTTTAGCAATCTTGCCAATCATTTACTTTTAGAAAAGAAAAAGAATTTCCTTCCCAGCGAGTGTTGCTCATAAAACTCAAAACGCTTCATGTTTTCTACTTCTGTTTTGGAAAATTGGCTTCTAGATATGTAACAAGTACTTAGTAGTGCCCATTTGGACATAAATTTGATGGAAGATTTTTCTAAAAATATTTCACTTTTTTTCGAAATCAGCATTTTTTCATAAAATTTTCAATTTTCACTTGAAGATGCATTTTGAAAATTTTCGAAAATTTAAAAAACTGCAAAAAAAATTATTTTTTCAAAATTTTCACTCAAATCACTTACCAAATTTCAAAAACAACCCAAACTGAAATTTATGTCCAAACACAACTCTAAATTTCAAATACCATTTTCACCATTTTTTAGAATTTTACGATTCTTATGTCCAAACGCCTACTTAACCTCTATAGGAGGTTTTTTCTTCTGCTTATAAATCCAATTAAGAAACCAGACGTAAGTCATTGCAAGCTCATACCGCTTCTCTTTATACTACTACAACAATCCATTATAAGAGCAAGTAGATCTTGATTTTTGCTTGTAGATTCTGTAAATTATTTTATTCTGCTTATTTATGATCCCAAAACTTATTTAAATGAAATAACAATTAAAACAAACACTCAAATACTCCATTAAAGAATGCATTTTCTTAGGGTTGACTAGATCAAAGAAGCGAGGACTCACATGTTGCCAAGCAAATAGAAAAATTAGTTTCAACAATAAAACAAATAATATGACACCCATTTAACTAAAACATTTTTTTTTGGCTAAACCACATGAAGCCTCTAATAGGAAATGTTTTACCACAAAATGAGATTTTTTTAGCGCGAATCAGAATTAGTCAGGCCCCAAAAATGTGCACTAAACACAAGTGGAAAACCAAAAAAAAATTATACAACATTTTTTACAGTTCCTCTGGAAATTCATCAGCAAACCACAATAAAGAGAAATTTAAAAGAAAAAAAACTAGAAAAAAAGAAAATTGAACTAAATACAGTACTAAAGAAACTAACAGTGGAAAGCTGTAACAGATCCATCACTTACAGAAATAGCCACTCTACATTCAGCTTTAGCCTCGACATGATGAGTGAAAAAATGGAGCACTCTGACCCGACCCGCCATCTCTATCCTGGACTCCACCTCCAAACTGGGTCCGACCCGAAACCCACTCAACCCATCAGTAACAGTAGGTCCCACACTCTGTGGTATCCCATTCACTGCTAAAGGAAAAGACTTTACAGAAAACGTAGCAGCCATGTACTCAGTCCGACCCGAATTAATCTTTCCAGCAGGTACGAACATAAACCCGACTTGATTACCCGAATAAAGGAGCTGAAGTGAACTGTCGTAGTGAGTAAACACATCATGATTCGGGTTCTCTATAGAAACGTACTGAGAAAACGTGAAGTTAACGGTGCCGTTAGAAGTAGAGAAAGTGGGAAGCTGAATGGAGTTAACGGTGATAACGGGATCTTTTGGTTTGAAAACGGTGAAGTAAACGATGAGAATTACAATGAGGATGAAGATTAAGAAAATGGTGGCGACAATGCATGAAGCTAAGTTTGTACGTCCACTTGGAGGTTTACGAGACTTAACCATTTTCTGAATCTTGAAAATGGCTAAAGTTGAGGATTTTTTTTGGGTGTTTAGAGAAAAAGACAGAGATACTGTTTTTTGGATGCGGTGCCTGAAGACAAGAAAGAAAGAGAGTGAGTGTGTGTGTGTGAGAGAGGGGATTCAAGAAAGTGATAAGAGTGTCTATGGACAGTGTGAAAATGGAGACTTTTTTGCAATTTGGTTTGCGTAATTTAGGTTCTTTTTGTCACTTCTTTTTGCTAAAAGAATTGAGACCCGGGAAAAGAGTTTGGTTGGGGTTGGGGGTTGTTTTTTGTTTTTTGTTTTTTCAGACTTTTTTTTTTTGAAGTGGGATGAGTACATAATTGGACTCCACTAGGACCACTTTTTTTTTTCCCCTTCAAACATTATATACCTAAACAAAGTAGGATGTTAAAAGGCACCCCGCACCAAGCATCTCGTATTTACGCATGACTCGGAGAAGGGCTGCATCCGAAGTGGTGTGATGTAGACAGCCAATCCTAATGCATGCATTAAATTTAGCTTCTATTGCTCGAACCCGTGATTTGTAAGTTCACGGCTTCCCTTCCAAAGTAGGATGGAAGTAGTGCAACTAAAATATTACTATAGAGAAATGCTTTAGTCAACTAAACAGTAAAACATTATGCATGCTTGTTTTGTACCGAGGGTCTGTCTGAAACAGTTTCTTTACTTGCATAAGATAGGGGTAAACCTATGTACACACTACTCCCACTTATAAAATTATATTATATTTGTTGTTGTTGTTGTTGTAATTGCTTTAGTGATAGGTTTTCTCTACATTTAACCATTAGAGGAGGTTCAATTCATCAATTGGACGGAAAGCAAGGAAAGGAAATCTTAGTATGCACCAGAAGAAGACTATCGATGCTAAAATTACTAGTACTAGGTTTTAAGCTTAAGCAGCAAAAAAAAAAGGTCAAGAATAAAGGTTATACCAAAGTTTTCGTCATTTCATTAGACCAATACTTGCTATTTGCTAGTTCTTTTCTATGTTGATTGCGAAGCATGTTTGGAGATTGAGGCATAGTTTTATTGTAATGCATGATTTGAAAAAGTAAACTTAAAAACGATACTCTTGTTTGACTCAAAAGTTGTTGAATACTTTTTAAGCAAATCAATCAGTATATATGAAGGGGTAAATCATAGTCAATCATAATTAATACCGGATCGAAAGACAAATTATAAAATAGAAGATTAAACAGGGATAATATTGGGGAGCTTTTATTGATCATCGAAATTTGTCCCGCCTCCCCTTGAGAAGGTTCAGGAAATTACAATCGAGTTGTCTCCTTCATGAATTGTCGAAGGTGAAAGATCTCTTTCCCTTTTTCCCTGAGCTCCGTGCGCTTTTCATGGAGTTTTCATCTCCCTTGATGTTCTTGTACTGATGGATGATGAAGAAAGATGGAGAAGCCCCCCTTCTTTGGCTCTCCTGCCCTCTATTTATATTCGAAGATTTCTCGTGCTCATCGCACCTTACCTTGGCCGGGTCGGGGAGGGGGTGATCTCTTCTCATAGAGGGGCCCCGACCTCGACGCTTATCTTGTAATTAGCAATGATCAGATGGGGTCGAGTTCGTTAGCTACCACCGCAGGGTAGTTGGGACGGGGTCATCACCGCCGTGGTCGTGTAGTAAGATTCTAACCAATACAACTCTCTCTTTGTTTGAAATTAGATAATATAATTTGATTTGGCGTAAAGTTAGGAAAAAAAAAGGACTTTTGGAATATGTGGTCTTAAAAGCTTAAGGAGTCAAATACTCAGATGGTCACTCAACTTTTCGAAATTATCTACCAAAGTCATGTTTCTTTCGTTTGTAACAATAAAGTCACTTAACTACGCCTATAGCACTCAGAAGGTCACCCAACTAGATTTATCAAACTTTTGATCGGCAAATATCTATTTTACCCTCTAAATTATCAACTTATCTTCTGTTTTTAATACTTTTTTAATATTATGATTTTTTTCCTCTTTTTAACCAACATTATTGACTTACCTATAGAACAAAAATATATTTATTTAAAATAATAAAAAATATTTTTCTAGCATAAATAATAATATAATTGAGCATAATATTCAAAAATATGTAATGTATATTACAAAAATACCTTTATTTTAAATAATTATTTTCTATAGTACGTGCATGGAATATATATTTTATAACTTTCTTTTCTTTCATTCTCAATCGTGTAAATAATTTTTGAGTTTTTTTGTTAATATTAAAATTATTATTATGAACAAATTGTTCTAATTAACTTTCTATTATGCTCAATATTTTCATTATTCCAACATTGTATATGCTTAAATACTATTTTAAGTTTTTAATTTATAAATAAAATTTATTTATTCTAAGGTAAGTTCATGATATAACTTAACAGAGAAATTTATTACATTAAAAAAGCTAAAAAAAAAATAAAAGGAGATAAAAGTTGATAATTTAGAGGGCAAAATAGGTATTTGGCGTTCAAATATTTGAGAAATGTTGTTGAGTAACCTTCTAAGTGTTATTGTCATAGTTAACTGATTTTGTTGTTACAAACGAAAGAAAGATGACTTTGGTAGATAATTTCGGATAGTTGAGTGACTATCTGAGTAATTGAGTAAAAGCTTTGTGGGACCATGAAATTTTTTTTGGCTATAAAAACTTCTCATTAAGAGTAAAGTAGATAAAATGAAAAGCTTAAAGTTAAATTATTTCCTAATATATAAATGTATCATTCTTTTTGGAATAGACTTATAAGAAAAGTGTGTCATTTAAATTGAAACATAGAGAATACTACATATCAACAACAGTAAAAGTAACAAAAAAACCATTAATTTATAATTTTGAGGGGGGGGGGGGTGTGGTTAGGGGTAGGGTGAAAGCAAAAGGATTAGGTAACACTAGCTTGTAATTGGAAACCCCAGGGTAAACTAGGCGATGCCATTGCAGTAAAGGCAAATATCTTTAAAATGTTTATCTATCCAAATTAATGAAACAGAAAACTTTGCTTTAACATTGTTAGTTATACTCATAGAAAATGTTGATTATTCATAGTAAGTAGCAAAGTCTAATATGATAAGATGGAAAATAGAGTATGATATCATCAAGTTTAGTATTTATAACAAACATGTAACTATTTATAGCAAAAAAAAAAAAAAAAAAAAACAGCCCAGTGCACTAAGCTCCCGCTATGTGCGGAGTCCGGAAAAATACTGGACCACAAGGGTCTAGTGTATGCAGTCTTACCCTGCATTTCTACGAGACGCAGTTAAGAGAAATTTATACAAAGCTAATTAATTTATTTCTCCTGCAAGATGGAGTATTCATTCATGAAAAACTGCTGCTGCTGTTTTATGAAGATTTCAAGAAAACCACATCCTGATTTAGATATTTTATTAGTATTCATGTACTCTATGGTTGATATTTGAAAGGCCGCGACAGCAGCCAATGTGATCAGCTTTTGTTGAAGGGGAGCCTTGGAGCAACAGTAAGGTTAGTCTCTGCGTGACCTATAGGTCACGGGTTCGAGCCGTAAAATCAGTCATGATGCTTGCATCAGGGTAGGTTGCCTACATTACATCCCTTTGGGGTACGTCCCTTCCCCAGACCCTGCGTAAACGCGGGATCCTTCGTGCACTCGGCTTCCCTTTTTATCTATCCCACAGAGAATATAAGGAATTGCAGCACAGAAAACTAAGTAAACCATAATCCAGACACCAATTCTATTGTATCACTATGTTTTTAATCGTTTACTGGCTTTCTTTGAACCTTTAGTAATACATAAAATTTCAAAACAGGTAAGGAATTTGTGTTACAAAGTTGCCTTATTCAAATAAGTCAGTATCACTTTACTCGTCGAGAAAGGATACAAAGACAACTGTTTATAGTAACAGTTTATTTTTATTTATTATTTATTGCATATTGCAACTTCTAATCCATATTTGAAAAACCATCAAATTGGTAATGTGCAGAAGTTGAGGGAAAAGGTTTCTGACCATAGACGACAAAGTCAGTCATCCACCTTTACTATCTCTTCATTCAGTCCATTTTTATATATATGGACTGAATGCTATATACATACAACAGATACATATACTTACAATCCGTGGAAAGATTTATATTTTGAGCTTCTCAAGCTTGATATCCATGAGCTTGGAGACAGTTTGGAGAAATGCAGCTTCAGTCATGCCGGGAAGCATAGAATCTTGAGCATCACGAACAATTTCCTCGATAACAGATTCCTTGTTCAAGGTTTCCCTGCACATTATGCTTCCTATGTCAAAGGGTGTAAGTCCTCTCTCTACCCCTTTCTTCAGAAGCATGGTTGAGATACGAAGAGTACGAGCACATTCAGCAGACAAATCCAATCCGTAAAACTTAAGGAGAACAATGTCTTGTTCAGCATCCAGGGATTTGATGTACTCAATAGTTTCTGGAGAGTAAGGCTGACGCGCTTGTGGCCAGTAGAGCCAATCAAAGGTGCAATCCTCGAACTGCAAAACACAGATTTGTGAGTGGAAAATTCTGAATTGTAAGAGAAGAAAACTTCAGTTATTAGAATAACTCGTTGAAAGCAAGTAGAACTTCCATTAGTATAAATGCTATCAAACCGATAGAGGGACATGATGAATCATGAGTGTGACACAGATATCGCGATATCAGTATATCACAGATCATAAGATACCAAAATGAGAGTGCAACTTAATGCGTCAAAAAGTAACATCAAATGTTAATATCAAAGACTTCTATGTATTTGGAGGAGGGACCGAGACCTAAAGGTAGGAGAGGCGATGTCCAGTTAAACCATCCCTATTCCTAGTACATTATATTGAGCAATTATTAAGCTCATCAACAGGGTAAGCATACTTTTCTTAATATCCTGATTAATTACAAGTAATGCGTAGGCAGGCTGAGAACATATTCTTTGGTATCAAAGCTAAACCCCAAATTACTTCCAGACCAGAACAATCAATTACACATGACCAAAATATTAGAAGTATTCACAAGGCAAGAAAAACATCGGGAAAAGAAACAGAAATGAAGTTTATGCATTTGTTCACTTATGAGTTCTAAGCACTTCCACGCCTTAATAACCAAGTTTATGAAAATGAAAATTTACTAACAAGAAAGCAATCATAAGCTCGAAAGCATTGCTTAACATCTAATTTGTCAAACAACATTTATAAAAAAAGGGCTGGACCACAAGGGTCTATCGTACGCAGCCTTACCCTACATTTCTGCAAGAGGCTGTTTCCACGGCTCGAACCCGTGACCTCCTGGTCACATGGCAGCAACTTTACCAGTTACGCCAAGGCTCCCCTTCACAAACAACATTTATAAGGACGAACAAAATCATCACTTACATGTTCAGGCAAGCAGTAGCCATGGTCAATTGGAGTAAGCACGATTCGCCCTTTTTCCCTTTCTCTGCTCACAAGAATATTCCCAGCATGCCTATCTGCATTTGCTGTTCTTATATCAAAGACAGTAATCTTATGAACTTCCTCCACAGGAAATTCCCCAGGACCCCTATCCTCACAATTTCCTTCATTCTTCATAAACAACTGCAGTGAACCAAACTTAATGTACTCTGACGACCACTCAAATCCATTAGGATGATGAAATCCATTGTGCAAACACTGAACCATAGCAGTAGGAGGCACACCAGAAAATCCAATCTCACCATTGGATAATGATCGGTGTCCCCTCTTCCTCGGATGATCCAGTAGAAAAGCTGCAACTTCCCTAAATGCACCTTCTCCTACTCGGGTTCCCCTTTTCAACCCTTCACCATTAGTTGATAAAGGTAGCCCTTGAGGATTATTCACAGCCAACGGCTCCTCATCTACGGGCTTAAAAATTGCAACATACTTGTTGCCAGATCCATCTTGCATAAAATAGGTTCCTCCACTCCCTTCAGATGATCTGATCGGTCTATTTCCTTTCGTCAACCCATCACATGCAGAGCTGATCATGTCCCAAATATTGGATGGCAGTTCTATATTTGGATTAACAACAACAGGTTCCAAGAATTGAACGTCCCTCTCGACATGCTTAGCCCCAACCTTTGCAAATTTCTGAACTAACAAGTGAATCACAGCATCAGCAGTAACATCATCAATGAGCTTCTTATCCTCAAGCTTCTCACCATTACAGAAAAGCTCATGAACCTTAAGTTCCTCACCAAAATCTTTGCCTTTCTTCAATATGGTACGCTTTAGGTACCCGATGTCTTGATGCCTATCAACAGGAAATTCAAATTCCTTCCCACAAGTAGTCCTAACAGTGATAACAAGAAGATCAGATATCTTCAGGACCAAATGCAAAACATTCCCATTACTAACTCCATAGTCCTTAACCAAAGATTCATTTCTTGCTAGCTCTCGACCTCCAAAAACTAGCTTCTGCATCTTAACCACAAAACCTTTACATGTTTGGATCTTAAGTTTCACTTCACCAATCGAATCAGATTCCAACACGCGCATTGGAATCACAGAACCAGCCACAGTGATGTATATTACAATCGATTCATTCGTACAAAGAGCCAAAGGGCCATAGATATGTCTCGTAGACCGGACAGACTCGTCTTGAACCGGACTCAAAGCCACATCCACAGCAGACATTGTGATGATTATACAACAAAGGCTTTACAAAACTAGCCCCTTTTCTCCTTGATGACTATGCAATTGTTCAAAATCCTAAACAAAGCATCAACAATGTCCAAAATGCAAGAAATTTGAACCCCTTTTACCAAAAGACTCAACCTTTAACTTAGGATACACCAAAAAGAGATAAAATCAAAAACTAATAAAGACTCAAACTTTCTTATTATCTTTCAGAAACACAAACAGAGCATTACCTAAACAGTGAAATAGGAAATGCCCAATTTGAAATTGATCCAAATTACCTTAGAAATACTAAGCTAGAAGATCAAGAAGCTGAACAAATCTTCAAAGGTTCAATCTTTTTTTGGAAATTTTTTCAAGAATGTGAGAAGTGAGAATAATGGGGCGCACTGGGGCTATTTTTTTTCAACAATAGAGTGGATTCTTTACCAGTAGAAAGAATCAAAAAGCAAAATGGTCAATGAAGAAAAGCTTATATAATTACTTACATGGCATGGAAGGATATATTGTTTTTTTGAATATAATTATTATTATCCTCCCTGCATTTCCCGGAATTGGATATCGGAAAATTCAAAGTTGTATCCGGTTTATTCGCCGGCTTTTTGAAGTTTTCCGGTAGAAATGTCGATGAGGGAGAAAGAGAAGGTGAAGAGTGGAATGAGCGGAATTATAGCCGTTGCTTTAGGAATTTGCTTTTGACTATACGAGCATTTAGAAGCATAGCTTTATTTCAATTTATAACTTTATTCAACGTTTAGCTTTATTTCAACATATAACAATTATTTCAATATTTATTCATGTGTCAGTGTCACTCAAACTTTGGCTAAAAAATAAGATTCCAAGGAATAATTTTTCAATAAAATTATGTATGAATGAACTAAGAAGATTTTTTTTTCAATCATTTTCTTAATTAAAAATCTGGAAATCTTTTTTTTTTTTTTTAAGTTGTAAAATGAACCCAAATAAAGCATTATGGACATAAAAATTGATATAACTGCCACAATTAGTTAGAATTGAGATTAGTTGATTTATTAATTGAGATAAAAATAATTAATTTATTATGACGGTGGTGTTCGTGTCATTTGCTAGCATCTTGAATTTGCTATCTCCTACCAACGTAAGTATTGAGTAATTTTATCCATCAATCCTTAAGCAAAATAAAAAAAATTACCTACGTATTTTTGGTTTTTGTTGTGATTTGAATCGAGATATTATGATTTTTCACCTACTTTATTGAGCACGTTCGTGTAATTTAATTGGGGTGAATTGTTGTTATTTACCTTCTCTTTACGGCTATTAAGTCATATTATTATAAAGACTGTCATAAAGTTGGTTTTAAAATAATCTCGTACAAAAAATAAATTAAATTATTATTTTATGAAATTAAATACTCTCTCCGTTTCAAATTAGATGAGTTACTTTCCTTTTTAGTCAGTTCCAAAATAAATGACACATTTCTAAATTTGGAAATAATTCAACTTTAAACTTTTCATTTTACTCATTTTACCCTTAAGGAGAAAGTTCTGATTGTTGAGTCACGAGCCGGTGTTAACGAGAGACTAGAAGTTTGGAGACAGACTCTTGAGTCTAAAGGTTTCAAGCTAAACAGAACGAAGACTGAATACTTGGAGTGTAAGTTCAGCACTGAGCCGGGGAAAGTGGGCATGGATGTGAGGCTTGAATCACAGGTTATCCCAAGTAGAGGCAGCTTCAAGTACCTTGGTTCGGTTATCCACGGGGAGGGGAGATCGATGAGAATGTAGCACACCGTATTGGGGTAGGATGGATGAAGTGAAGGTTAGCATCCGGAGTTTTGTGTGACAAGAGAGTGTCAACGATACTCAAAGGTAAGTTCTATAAAGCGGTGGTTAGATCGGCCATGATGTATGGGGCTGAGTGTTGGCCTGTTAAGAACTCACATATCCAAAAGATGAAAGTAGCAGAAATGAGGATGTTGAGGTGGATGTGCGGACATACTAGGATGGACAAGATTAGAAATGATGATATTCGGGAGAAGGTGCATGTGGCTCCCATCGATGACAAGATACGGGAAGCGGGGCTCAGATGGTTCGGACATGTACAGAGGAGAAGCCCAGATGCTCCAGTAAGGAGGTGTGAGCGACTGGTTGTGGAGGACACGAGAAGAGGTAGAGGGCGACCTAAGAAGTATTGGGGAGAAGTGATCAGGCAGGATATGGCGAGGCTTCAGATTCCCGAGGATATGACACTTGATAGGAAGTTATAGAGGTCGAGTATTACGGTTGTAGGCTAGGAGGTAGCTGAGTCTTGCGTTACCGTGTACTGTTGTGAGCCTAGTCTGATAGGGTTTTTGTCTGAAATAGTTAGGGGCATTGTCGTGTCTTACTATTTTCACTTTTCGGTGCAAGACCTATTTACTAGCCATCATTTTTTGTTTTGCATTTTTGCTTCTGCATTTTATGTTCCTATTTTTCATATGATCTCTGTAGTGAAACTAATATTCTCTCTTTTTTGTTTTTCTTATTATCTTGAGCCGCGGGTCTTCCGAAAACGGCCTCTCTACTCCTTCGGGGTAAGGGTAAGGTCTGCGTACATACTACGCTCCCCAGACCTCACTTGTGGGATTTTACTGGGTTGTTGTTGTTGTTGTACCCTTAAGGAGAAACTTTTATAACCGCACAAATGTCATGACCCACAAAGTTTTTACCCCTTACTCTTTTAAGACCACAAATTTTGGAGGTCTTTTTTTTTTCTTAAACTTCGTGCCCAGCCAAACTAACTCATCTAAATTGAAACTGAGGGAGTACTGTATATTGTAATCTATCGAGTACTATATATTGTAATCTATCTTCTGTATCTTTAGGCTACAATTGATAAGTCCTTCTCTAGGAAAATTGTTTCACTTCTTTGACAAAATAAAAATTACAGTCATTCCTTATAGTTATATACTCATCGTTTGTGCAAAATCAAAATTTAACATATTTCTGGAAACATTTATAATAGAAGCATGTTAATTGAACTTTTTATTTTTAATTCAGTGTATTGTGCACAAAATAAAATAGAAAAAAAAAAAAAAAAAGTAGCAAATATTGGAGTGACATAGTAAACAACGTGGCACCAGGAATGGGTTCCAAATTAGCATTACATATCCAGAAAATCTCTCTCGAAAATTAACAATTACTGCTAATTCATGTCTACGAGAAGAAATGCTCCCCTGATTTTTTTTCCTTTTATTTTACTTTACTTATTTATTTATTTTGCTCTTCTTTCAATAGCTGCGACAAAAGTAAAAAGTGTAGTCCGTGCACACAGGGGGCGAAACTACTTTTTGCTAAAGGTTGATCACCCTTTGTCGGAATATTACAAAAAATTATAGTGTGTATATAAGTAAATTATTGATTTTAAATGCATAAAACATATATAGAATACCCCTTGATTTTTTTAACTTCTTTCAAGTCTGAACCCTTGAAATAAATTTCTGGTTTCGCAACTGCCAGTGCACGAATCATTCCGCATTTATACTTGGTTCGGGGAAGGCCGTACCCCAAGGGATGTGATACAAGCAACTTACCCTAATTTTAGCATCAGTGACTGATCTACGGCTCGAACCTGTGACATATAAGTAGGGGTGTCAATGGTTCGGTTCGGACGATTATTTTATAAAATTTGTACCATACCAATTTCTCGGTTATTCTATTATGTATAACCAAAATTAGACTTTTCGAAACCGTCCCAATCATGTCGGTTTCAATTCGGTATCGGTACGGTTCGGTTAATTTTCGGTATTTTTTTAAAATATCATGTGTAAAACTCACTAGTAGAAGTAGAATGCAATAACATATGTTCTTTTACAGGACTTACCAAAACTTTCTAGACATTTTTACTGTTTAAAGGGTAATGAATTAAAAAAACATGAAAGATGGCTAGAGTATAGATCCATCAACTATTCGACAACAACGTAAAAGAAACCAAGTAAAAGCAAAGAAAATATAAATCACACGAGTAGAAAGATATTAACCAAGCCGGGACTCAAGAATAAAGTTTATATTAAATATGCAAAAAGATAAATCTAAATTGTATGAAAGGAAACATATTCAATTCATTGTAGTTTTCTACTCATAATCGCTAGAACACTTTGTGTCTTGCTAATAAAGATACTTGAAATAACTTAGTTAAGTATAAGTGGCATGATAGATTTTAGGAATTAGTATTTTGAGTTTAATTACTTGTTGGCTTGTAACAATTTTCATAATTCCAAGACCCAATGAAAAATTTAATGTTTATTCGTTTTAGACTTGCTATATAAATATATTTTTTACAATATTTTTTACATATAAAATTTATTCAGTACGGTTAGGTATTTTTTCGGTTTATTTTTATAAAATAAAAAACTTACCCTAATTATCGGTACGGTTACAGATTTATATAAAAACATACGGTTTCTTTAAAAGAAACCTAAAAATCGGTTCGGTGCGGTTAGTCGGTTTTCAAATATCCATTGACACCCCTACATATAAGCCACAGAGACACAATCTTATGTTGTTCCAAGGCTGCCCTTCAAGCTACAACAAAAGTAAAAACAGGGTAATTTGTGAAAGAATTTTTTATTTTCTTTTTAAAGGAGATATACTATATAAAGTTGGGGCTATATTAATTACCTATAACCAATTTACATCATTTTCTTTTAATATTGAATTCTTGCAACTCTAAGCTACAAGAAGCCATAACTAGAAGTAGAAATATCTTTAATTTAAAGGTTCAACCAAAGAATAAATTGATTAGATCTGAAGTACAATCAAAATGTACAATAATGTTAATAAAGTACTTTTAATGTATTTATCAGATATCCAACAAGGAAAAGAATAGTACTACTCGTATAATTAAAGTTCTGAATTATGGTTTAATTTATGTTTAACTTAATGATGTATCCACGGTCTTTTGTCTCCTTTCTTTAGCAAACATTGAATCAGTGTGTTGAAATTGCAAGCTACAAGAAAATTTCTTTGTATAATATTATAATATTATAACAATACAAAATAAAAGAGGACAAGTGGAGATGTTCACTGAACCTTGCATCTTATTAATTAAGTAACTCAAAATTTTTGATTATTGTCCTCAAATATAATAACAAAGATATAAAGTAGAAATCTCACTTTAAAAGATCGCCTAATAAATGGAACAAATTGAGGTGCGTATCCATGTTATAGGACTAAATAATAATGCATTCTCTTTTTCCCATTTAATTTTCAAGTAAAAAAAAAAGAGTGTATGCTGGAGCAATTGGTGAATTTAAACGTATTTTCTATTTTCGAATTTTTATTCTAATAAATCAGTTGCTGGTAACTAGAAGGGGAGCTTTGGCGTAACTGGTAAAGTTGTTGCCATGACCAGGAGGTCATGGGTTCAAGCCGTGGAAACAGTCTCTTGCAGAAATGCAGGATAAGGTTGCGTACAAATAGACCCTTGTGGTCCGGGTTTTTCCCAGACCCTGCACGTAACGAAAGCTTAATGTATCGCGTAGAAAAATAAAGATATTATCTTCGCAAGCTTACAACAGATTCAAAAGATATGACCGCCGAAGGCTCCTACACTTAACAACGGTCCTTTTCTCTTGGCATATTTTGAAGCAATATAAAAGGATAGGTGCTTTTGTAATTAATTACATGTAGGGGTGATAAACAGACAGGTCATATTCAGTGGCGGAGCCAGGATTTATATTGAGGGGAGTTAAAATATAA